AGGGATGCGGAGCCGGCCCATTTTAACCGGCTGCCTGGTGGTATGCCGCCTGACTTTTGAGCCAGGAAAGCTGAAGCCTTTCCCCCTTGCCGCTGTTAAAGAGTAGGACAGCACCACGAACACTAAAGATGCCGTTAAAAAGTACCCTGAGCTCCCGCACAACTGAGAGTTGGCTTGTTTAAGGAAAAAAATACACCTGTGGTGAAAAGACACAGTGAAACCGCCAAAGAACTGAGTATCCCCGCTCTCACGGGAGGAGTGGACAACTGGAAGGACTTCAGCTTGGGGAGAGGTGCACTCACATGCACCCTCCTCCTCCTCACCCCTGTGACCTAATGGGACAGACTTCTCTCTGCATGAAGGAGAGGGGGGGAGTCCAAGGGTCGTTTGCGAAGAAGTAGGGCATGCTGTTTGTATACAGCACGTAAGATAAGCTGCGCCTGCTGCAAGTATCGTTATTGGCTCCACTTTAGCTGTCAGAGCGAATAGACATCAGCAGGACATGCTGAACGTCACAACTGCCGCTCCATCCCCAAGTGTGCAGCAGTGTGTCTGGCAGAGACGCGTACAGCACAGCCAGGTGGGATCTCACGGGCTGTGCCTGCATTAGCTAAGCAGCACTGCTCAGCAGGAGTGGGTCTGCAAAGAGAAACAGCAGGTGCAGAAAGCCTGGTGTCCACATTCACTGCATCTTGGAGAGGTTTATATCAGACTTAGTCCTGTGGAATGAATGCTGATCAGCAGTTGAAATACACAAGTTGTTCTCCTAGGGTGTATTTTCTGGTTCAGCTTCATCCAATGGACATTATTCAGCTCACACCTATAACGTGATGAAAAGCCTTGCAAGGCAAGGGGGAACTGTAGGCAGAGTCTCCTCAAAAGTGCCTGATCTAGAAACGCTCATTGCCCCACAGGCATGGGGTGACTTGTAGCAGCTGCAGGAGTTGCATGTGGTGGAGCAAACATGTAGACCCACATGAGAGGTTTGCCTCAGCCTCCTGACACCAGAGAGCTCCTGGGAGAGCCTCTCCCAGTACAGATGGAGGTTACCTTGAGACGTCTCAGGGCACAGTGCCGACACCTCTGAACTTACACGGAGTCTAATTTTGAGACGTAGCAGGCTTGTGTGCCGAGCAACATTTGAAAAGTGATGGAGAAGAAGTTTTTCCATAGGGAACAGGAAAAAATGGCTCCCTAGCTCATGTGATCAATCAGAAAATGCCCTCCTGAACCTCACCCTCTATGTGTTAACAGCGCGGGGTCAAGGGGAAATCTGCAACGCCGTGTTTGCTTGTATCTGTGCCACATGTGGCAACTCTAATGAGCAATTGATTGCAGCTACACACGCTATTTAGCAAACACCATGGAACATGCTGTAGCAGAGTAGCTGCTGTACATCTTTTAAAAATCCCTAGGATGAGATTATTGCTCTCCTGTTTGGGTTATACTGTGTCAGATTTTTTTAAAAGATAGTGGATGATTTTAGTTTATTTTTGGTGGTGAATCATCAGTCTATATGTAAGATGCTGTGCTTGCTACTTAGGGAACAGGGCATGCTATTTAACATACCTGGGAAGATGGCCTGGTATTTTCGTGTTTTGCGTAGCTGCAGCTTCCTCTTTACTTACAGTTCAGTGGGAACTATCAGGAGCTTAGCTTTAAGGTAGAGCTTCAGGCTTTGCCAGCCTGAAGACACACCTATGGAAATATTGAACAATAATGCTGTTGGAGCAGGTGACTGCCAAAAAAGAAGTAGGTGTGCATTGTAAACTTCTAACGATAAGACTGGGGGTAGCTTCCACACTAACAGACACTGCTTGGGGTGCCCTACTTGCTTTTCTGCTGCTCCGCAACCCAAACCCAGCCAGCCATTTGTTTGTCACCATTTGGTTTTCACCATTTAATGTGTCACCTTCCACATTTATGCAGAGCAAGGACAGCAGTTAACCACAGCATATGCATCATGATAATCATTCCCTTATCTTCTTCAAAAACCACATTCTTTAGACAATCAGTTAGCCTTGCTCTGCTTATGCCAACTCAAGGGAGGGAGGAGAATAAATTAATATGACTTCAGCAGAAATTAATCTCTTCAGAACTGTAGAGGTGAAATAGGATTCTTGCCACAAAACAACAGTTCCCTGTAAAATCTTCCATGGAAAGGGACAGAAAAAAGACAAACATATCAATGCAAATAGTGAAGTCACACAGCTCCAAATTTGTACATATGTAATCCATCAACATTGTGGTTTTACTAGTCCTGATAAAACATTAAGGGAAAATAAATATTATTTTTACCATATTTGCTCAAATAAGGCTCATATATTCCACTTCCCCAGATTTTGCCCTCAAAATCCAAGGTACTTGAGTGTTTTGCGATGTGCCAACACTCTGCATTATTGTAGAATCTTCTCTGTCTTTTTGGTCTTTTGCAGACACGCAGGTGCTTGCTCCTCCCACCCTCCCAGCTGGCTGGATAGGGACTGATGAGGACACCCATAGACAGCACCGTGCTGCCACAGGGGCTGGGTTTTGACCAGATGCCTTTTTTCACAGGCAGAATGAGCACAGTTGTGTCTGTAAAACCTGTGCAAATATGCACGTGCTTCACCTTTACAAATCAATCACGTCGGATATGGACTTTATTCTTGTATTTCAAGATCCTTGAATGCAGCCTTTATTTGCATCTAACAAATCTTAAGAGGCACAGAATGCTTGATAGGATGAATAAAGGCAGTAGTATGAAATGTCTAAAGCTTCTTGTGTGCTTGTGGGGTTTTTTCATCTTGTTAAAACCTGGATAAGCCAGGAAAGAACAAGAAGGAGTATAGAGAAGAAGATGTGGTACAAATTGCACCTGCAAATCCTTCCCTTAACTGTAGTGACATCGAATTCCACTCAGCTTCAAGAAAGCCACAGGGCAAAGGCATAAATGTCCAGAAAAGTGGGAAGATAAAAAAATGGGGAATTGTGGGAATACCAGTGGAGGATGGCTTCTATTCTTATACTTCTATAGTGAAAAGGAAAGGCAGAAAAAAAAGAGGAAACATAACAAATCAGTGATGGGAAGGGAAAAAAATGGTGAGCTCTTTGCCCCAC